GTATACATGTAATGATGTACACTGTACTAACACAGTAGACATTTAATGAGTGTAACACTGTACAACACAAAAAATAAACATTGTAATGAGTGTAACACTGAACTAACACAGTATTCTGATAGTGTAGTGTAAACACTGTACTACACAGTATACATGTATGAGTGTAAACACTGTACTAACACAGTAAATACAAGTATGATGTAGCCACTGTACTAACATAAAACAGTATAACTACGTAAAGTGTATCACGTGTATCTAACACAGTATAACACGTATGATGTAAAACTGTACTAAGCACATGTATCAAGTTATGATGTAACACTGTACTAACACATATACATGAATGAGTTCACACTGGTACTAACACAGTATACTCTATGAGTGGTAACACAGTAACTAACACAGAAAACTCGTATGATGTAACACTGTACTGAACATCAGTATACATGTATGAAAAAAAAAGGGGTATTTGAAAAACCAAAAAACTTACAAACACAGGATAACATGTAGAGTTTAACACTGTACTAAACACAGTAACTCGTATGAGTGAGTAACACTGTACTACCACAGTCATAACTCGTATGAGTGTAACACTGTACTAACACAGTATACTCGTATGAAGTGTAACACTGTACTAACCAGTATACCATTGTCTGAGTGTAACACTGTACTAACACCAGTATACATGTATGAGGTAACACTGTACTAAAACAGTAAACATGTTATGAGTGTTAACACTGTTCTAACAGCAGTATAACTCGTATGAGTGTAACACATGTACTAACACCACAAAGTTTTTAAAAAAACACTAAACCCCAAGGTTTTTATTTTTATGAGTGTAACACTGTACTAACACATATACAGGTATGAGGTTAACACAGTACTAACCACAGTTACATGTATGATTGTAACACTGTACTAACACAGTATACATGTATGAGTGTAACACTGTACTAACACAGTATACATTAGAGTGTAACACTGTTACAACACAGTATACGCTTAAGAGTGTAACACTGTACTAACACAGATATACTCTATGAGTGTACCACTGCACAACACAGTATACCATGTAGAGTGTAACACTGTACTAACACAGTAAACATGTATGAAGTGTAACACTGTACTACACAGTATACATGTATGAGTGTAACACTGTACTAACACAGTATACATAGAATGAGGTAAACTGTACTAACACAGTATACCATGTATGAATTTTGTAACTCTGTACACTAACACAGTAAACTCGTATGATGTAACACTGTACTAACACAGTAGACATTATGAGCGTAACACTTACTACCACGAATACAACAGATGTAACACTGTACT